ACAGCAGCTTTTAACTGATGCTTTATGTATTCATATATATTTATGTTTTTAATGTTTGTTGTGAGTCGCCCAGAATTCCCCCGTTGGGGGGAGATGGGCGGGTGAGAAATTTAATTAATAAATAAACAAAAAAATAACAATAAATCAACTATAACAAATCAACCTTTCCCTAAGATGGACACTAGTAAAACTTAGCTATGGTTGAAAGCCTCATGAAATAAAACTGTCTTTAAAGATCTCCTAAAAATCACAAGGGGGAGAGTTATACAGACCTCTGGGAAGTAAGGAGTTCCAAAGTGTGGAGGCTACCACAGAGAAGATAAAAGGATAAATTATAAGCAGGCTTTGACAAGAAAGATACATGGATAATAAACCTTTACAGTTAAGGAAAGTCCTTAAAATTCAATATGTTCTACGAGAACTTGTTACAACTAAGTTTAGTAATCTTGGAAGCAATTTCATTTATAAGTCTCTCCTTCTGCAAGCATGTGATTGTTGCTCCAGAGGCAAAGTTAAAACCCAAGAACCCTGCTGTTAACAATTTCTGTGTAATACTAACCTTAATTGTAATTTAGAATTCTCTAATTAGAAAAGGAAGAAAAGAGAATAGGAACCCTGCTGGATCTGACTAAAGGTTCTCTTAATTCAACAATTTGCTTGCCATCACAACCAGTTCGTGCCAGAAGGATCACAATCAGAACAAATAGGTCAAGATTTCACAGAAGTTTATCAGGATTTATAGGTAACATGCAGTAGATTAGCAAGGATCTCGATAGCTGCAGCAGCAGCAAAATCCCCAACAGTGACTATTTGAAAGAAACGGTGATGCCTCATTTTGATCCTGAGATAATGGATCTCATTCAATCAAGGGCCTGACATTCCATGTCACATCAAAGAGCTAAAGATCTCTCTTTCTCTCTTTTGGTGCCTTTGAGTCACTCTTGATTTTTGGCAACTCCCTGGACAAGTCCCTGCAGATTTCTTGGCAAGGTTTTTTGGAAGTGGCTTGCCATTGCCTGCTTCCTACGGCTGAGAGAGAGTGACTGGCCCAAGGTCACCCAGCTGGCTTTGTGCCTAAGATGGGACTAGAACTCATGGTCTCCTGGTTTCTAGCCTGTGGCTGAGATACCAGATGCTGCACATCAACCCAAAACCCCAGCATTCTTCCCTTTAAACAGTTCCCGCTAACTTTTAATTAAGGAGAAAGGCCTTGGATAATTTAAATGTTCAGTTAAAGGAACCAGACCATTGTTGACACAAGCAAGAATTTTGATTTTTGTACTGAGCAAGGGGTTAAATATAAATGCCTAAATGACCGCTTCCAACTCTATGATCTCTTGGTTGAACATTTCCTGCTATCTTGATCACCCTACTGTCTATAAATTCTGTTGTGATATCTTGTGCTGGGATACATCTCCTTTGAATATATTTTCATAGAACAAGAATGAGCACGTGACTTGCCAAAAAGCTACATGAAAAACAGGACAAGGAGGGAATCATCTGGCGATAATCCAGGTAACTCTGGGAGAGCTGAGGAAAGAAGAGAACCATCAATAGCTGCTACATTATTATTGTCCTCCTACAAAAGCCTCAGAGGTAGACAGCAATGATAGTAGTAATCTGTATAGCAAGAAGCTAATATTTCCATAATTGACAACTAGGCTTTCACTCCATATGTAATTATTTTCTTGCAGCTCACAGTCTGCCTTCTTAAACATTGCTTTGTGGTTATAATCAGTTCTGGAGCCCAACAACTACCAGTATTCATCTCTCTAAACATTTCTTTACATTTCAAAAGCCTGTTTGGTCAATACTGCATTTATTATTATTCCAATATTGCATTTACAATGGCATCAAAGTAGAAGTGTTAGGGAGAAACTTAAGAGAGGACTTAAAGTGATATCCTGGCAGAACTATTTTACAGCTCTGTGCCTTTAGTATTAGTTTATTGGCATTGAGATCATCTTGTCCACAAGGCAACAATATATAATCTGTCAGAGAACAAACTTGTGCTACAGGGCTCTTTTGTGCAGGCTGGCCTTCAAGGAAGCAATGCAATTTTTAGCTGAAACTTCTATTCACTGCCATCAACACAAAGAATGCTTTTACCTTTTACATTTACATGTGCAGGTTTCCTGAACTAAACTTATTCCTGACAACTTGTCATGTATTATGAGAGAGGTCCATAAAACATATGTGCATAAATAATAATGACTGAAGATTTTCATAGCAAGAGCAGCGTATACAACAATGCACAATTTATAGTTTCTTGCATGCTAATTTTCTACTGGGAAAGTAGAGAATTACATTCCTGTTTCTGGTTTAACATCTTCCAGGGTGCAGATTAATAAATTACATGCAATTTATTCTAGCACAGCAAATATAAAACAGAAAAATTCAAGCAACCTACACAAATACCCCCCCTCCTTTTATGTGAAAACTTACAGAATATAAATCATTAACAACTGAAATGTGAATAGGATATCAGTAAGTCTGTGTTGATAGGAAAATGTTAACAAATGTTTGACAGAACATAGAAATTTGGAGATCTACCATAAACTTCATTTGGCATTTGTTTCAAGATAACACCATGGGTTGCAAGTAGCTCTCTATAAAGACTTGTAAAAGGGCTGACTGCTATTGCTATTTCCATAGTGATCTCTTTTCACTTACTGTTATAAGTGGGAGCTAATTTAAGCAGATTTTAGGCAGGTTGTATTCAGTTGCTTCCTCATCATATATTCTGGGATAAAGTACTGAATGAATTCTTCTCTGACTACTTCCTTATGAATCTTTAACTACTGCAACTATCCTTCCCAATCCTCATTCTCTGCCAAAGAAGTTTCTTTTTCTCATTGACTGGACCATGCAAATGTCTCTCAAATGCCTACATGATTTATCACCCAAGAAAAATTCTGCAGCCAACAGAAGTTCATTGTCTAGAATTGTAAAGCTCTTTCCAGAGGAGTTTGTTCCATTGTGTTAACTTCCCTTTATCCCTTCTCCTCTGAGTGATACTTTTTCTATCTCTAGCATGTTCATTTGAGCCAAACTCTCTTGCACTGTTAAATGACTTAATTTATTCCCTTCATTGCTTCATGGGCCTGGGCCTTCCTTCCAGAACAGTTATATAATTCAATCAGTCATTTCAGTTTGACTGTTACAATATATTTTAGAGTCAAACATAGGCTTGATTCACATGTATTGTCTGATAACAAATGAACTTTGTGGGGTGGTCCTCTTTAATAAATTGTTTCACTTTTGGCAGAAAGCTTACTTTACTGTTACACATAAACAAATAGTGTATAATTCACACAAATCCTTCAAAACCAGGATCAAACCATATCTAGTAAAATATAATTAACTGGCTTGGGACATAATTGAAAACTATGGTTTCACTGAAAGTGGAAGTAATTCAGTATATAAGAATGGTAAGAGTCAGCTGAAAAATTGATCAGTAGTGGGCAAGGCAGCAATAACTTTGCTACAACAGGCAAATGAATAGAGGATGGGAGATCTGTGGCACTTCAGAAGTATCTATGGCTGAAGCCTACTCAATTAGGAGGAATGTTGAGAATTGCAGTTCCTGTATTTCTGGAAGCCTACAAGCTTCTGTTCAAGACATACAGCTGCATACCAATTTTGGAGATTATATTGGGCCCACTCAGTGTTATGGCTGTAGCGAAAAAAAAGAGCCTATCATTTCTTTTCATTTTTCATCACTGTTCTTGTACAACAGAAATTTCCAAACTGTTTACATGGAAAAATAAATTCAGTTCAACCATCCTCAGCAGAAGACCCCTGGAGTGTGAAATTGTGGTACATTTCTCAAATGATTGGACTGCAATATAAAATTATCCATGCCAAACATCCTCTTTCTTCTAATTTGAAAATACACCTAGGCCATTAATTCTTACCCCTCCACAAGGTGTAGACATCTCTTCAGTCCAAGAGTGAGCTATGTCAATAATTTATAATTCAAAGAATAATTACTTCTCTGCTACTTTAAGTCGGCTACTTTAAGTTCTTCTGCTTTATGATAAGCAGTTAACACAGATGGCCAAATCTCATTATAAAACAAGGAAGGTTATCTCTACCTGCGGTGCAATTAAATACAAAGATGGGTATTCTAACTGACATGCCATTTTCCAGATAAGCCTTTCCCCAGCACCTTTAAAATAATTAATTGGTAATTAAGGACATTTCCTTACATGTGAGAGATGATTGTGGGAGGCAGCTGTTTGTGATCACCAGCCAGGATACACTTCCCGACCTTCAGCAGTGGGATCCAACAGCTTGCTTCAAGAGCTTGAGTACATTCGTCAATCACCACGAGATCAAAGTGGTTCTCGGGAAGTAGCTTCAGCGGACCATCAGAAGAGGCACCTAATTAAATACAAGGTTAAAAACAACCACACTGAGGCTTTCAGCACTGCAAAAATAGGAAGTGACTTGTCTTAAAAGATTGTGTCTTCATTGCCATTCTTCAGGTTACATGATCTTCAATGGAGTGCTATAACAAACAATACAGATTCCAATGACATTGTCAATTTTCCTTGCCATCCGAACATTCTTCTACTGAATAATAATAGCCATAACTAAGTTAGAGTGGGTGTGTTACCTCACTGAAATCAACTGATTTCAAAAAACTAAGCAAGGTTGGATCTAATTAATAGCTGGATGAGAGACCCCCAGCAAATCCCAGAGTTGCAAACTAGACTAGGAAATCATAAAAATCCCAGAAGACAGCTGTGGCAAACCTCTTTTATACTGTTGCCAGAAAACAACACAGACATTGTTGTGCCTAACCAGGAGCTGCACTCTCCTTCGAAATTCTACCTTTTGATTTACAACTGGTGATTTGCTATAAGAAACCCATCTGTCTGAAGGAGGGGCAGAAGTAATACCTGGCAGATTGATGTGTGAAATGAAACTAAGAAATTGATTTGTAAGCCTCTAATGAAAGAGCTGCTGAGTTTATATCTATGGAAATATGAGCCTGTATTAGAACTTCAGGCTGCAGAGTGCCTGGAACTTTTACCCTTTTGATAAGCTTGGCAGAACATCCTGGTTGATATATGCAGACAGAAAAATGGCAATTCAAGAGAGTACACCTACTTTTCTGAAAGACTTAGATCTTTTCAAGAATAGACATGATTTGGATTTCAAAGAACTTGGCTGCTAAGGTTTCTAAAGTAGAGATATTACCAAAGATTTTTTCGGATCATAATGTGAGATTTGCCCCGTTCGACAGAGAAACTCTCGTGACACGTGTGGTTCACAATAGAAG